ATATCTGCTTGGGGTGATTGTCTCACAATTTTTTTTTTTTTTACAAAACAAAATTCGTATTTTACTTATTTTGAAATAAATATTCAAAATCAATTTTCTTCACCCAAAATAACAGCAATACTTTCTACATTCTTTTTAGATAAGTCACAAAGTATTTATTTTGTAGGTTTCACTTATAAATCCAGATGGTTCAGTCATGGAAAAAGACAGAAGAAAACAAGCAAGTCAGTTACCTATATGGATGGCCTTTGATTCGGTTTTAACTGTGAAATAGAAGTATTCAACACTGACCTGCTGAACACCCTGTGGAATTGTAGACTCCACAAAGGAATGTAAAATGACAACCAGGTATGGAGCAAGAGTGACAGGCTCTTTCACTCAAACTGTAACTGTAACTTGTTCGTTTAAGCTCATTTGATAAAGACAAAGTATAGTGAGCTCTTTAAGTGTCCTTTACAATTTTTTTTTGTGGTACTGGGGCCTTGCCTACCAAGGCCTTGCACATGGTAGGCAAGGGCTCTATCACTGAGCTACATCTCAAGCACTTGGTATTTTGAGATAGGGTTTTATACCCCTGGATGGTCTGTAACTCACTATGGAGCCCAGGCTGGCCTCCAATTCATGATCTACCAGCCTAGGCTTCTCATTACAGATTTTTAACTACATGTTTAAAACTCCTACTAGCCAAAAGTCAATGGCTTTCATCACTGTAACAATTTATATGATGTATTCCTTTCTTCCATACCTCCTCAAAATTCATTTCTTCAAAACACTGATAATTCATTACCTAACAACTAGATCCACAGTGGGGTAATAAATGTTATATTGAAAAATGACTTACCTAAAACAACTCCAGAGTGCCACTATCAGAGATCATGAAGAGGTAAAGCATGGCACATCCAGTGCCATCTTCTGAAAGAACCATGGGTCTTGAAAGTATGAGGGTTCAAACAGGGGCCATTTACATCGACTGCTTACATTGACTAATGTATTCAAAGACATCCAGTGATTAAGTGGCCTACTGTACTATATACTCTCTTATATTTGATATTGGAAGAAAATATCAAATATAAGATTTTCTTCCAAATACCATATACAAGAGAAAACCCATCTTTAAAGACTCTGGGTATTTTTAACAGTTTCTGAATTATCCACAGAAAGTTCTGACTTAATTGCATAGAGTTTGATATATGTGTCTGCCATTAGTCCAGATATTTTAAATAAAAATGCATGTAAGCAAAGTCAAATTACTTGGCCTTTGGTCTGTCAAAGTGTTTCTCAAGTATACATTGAGAAGCTTTCATCCATTTTTGTAGTACTCATTCTCGGTCTTCACAGGAGGAATACACAGGACTTCATCAAAGCTTGCACATTAGGAGAAAATTTGATATCTGGCAGGTGGAGGGCTTCATAAATGGTGGATAAAGGCTCTATATCTTTCCCTTCATGTTTCCACTTGATTCTCCAACAATGAAGCTCACCTGAGAGTGCATCAGGATTGGGCCAGTCACTTCTGTACATGTCAGCATGGTGCTCCTCCAACATGTTGAGTTTCAGCTGTCCCTTGACTGAGGGTGCCAGAGACAGCATTTATGAGCTCTCAAGTGCTCTTCTGAGAATCTATCTTTAAGTGCCTGAACAATGTGTTCCACTGTTAGAACACTTGGAAGTTAGTCGAAATTCCAGGTTACTTTGCTGAGCCCTACAGAATTTCCCAGGCAGTTTCATTTGAATATCAAGTTTGGTTGCCAAATTCGTGACTTCCTCAAACCAAAACTCATGATAAACGTCAATATTTTCCATTACTTCATTGAGTGAGTGCAGCACCACAGTGAAACTACTGTTGCAAAGAAGACATCAAAAGTTTGTCCCTGAGATTTTTTTCCAAAGGCCCTTATCAATGACATGACTTTTAAAGAGCAACAATGGTAACAATGAAATCAAAATCTGTCACTACACTAAGAGTACAAATGCTCAGCCAGTTGTACAGTTATGCCACCTGATATTTGTGTCACTATTTATACTATCTAGACAGAAAACAAATGCTCGCAGGCAGTCCACTAAAATTTCAAACCCATCCCACCTGTCCACTGAGAAGGACAAATTTCCTCCAGTTCTTCACTATTTTAGAAAAAAAACATGGCCAACTTCTAAAAGCAATTGTGATGATCATTGCAAAGAACAACCTCCCTCAATTGTTCCTAATGCAATGACACCCACACCTACAGGGACAGATTTTGCCAAACATGCTTAAGGCACAAAAAGAGTAGAGTGTTGAAGATACCTTGGCAATCTCTCTCAAAAAATATACAAGCAATACCTTTCATGTTGGAAGAAATCCACTGGACAACATGATAGTCTGGCCAATTTCTGCATTAACTCCATAAGACAGGAAGCTCACGAGTTCTCCTAGGTTATGAGATTCATCAGCAAACCTCACCAACACCCACAGTGTGCTTTCCCAGCTCTGTCCACCTTGCATCAGTGATAAAGAACAAGAAGTGAGAGTCTCGCTTCCCCAAGACTTTCCTCTGAATGCAGTTCTCTGATATCTGTTACTGCTGTGTTTTTTAACAGAACAAAATGTTAACTGTCATGGTCTCAAAGCACTTTCTCAGGACCTCCTCGCCAGAATTTATGATACTCCAGCAGTGCCTGAAAGCTATCAGGAGAAAGAGACCTTCTGCATTTCATCACTCTGTGCCCGTCCAGAGATATGTTTTGTTCTCCCATCAGAATCAAAATTTCAGGGGCTGGTGGAGTGGATCAAGCAGTAAGAGTGCCTGCTTAACAAGTGTGAAGCCTTGAGTTCAAACCCTAGTGCTGCCAAAAGACACAAAAATTTAAAAATTTAAAAAAAAATTGAAATTTCACAAAAAGACTTTAGGTACTGTTTTCTTTCTCTTCATTTTACCTTTAAGTAAAACGTCTTCTTCCTGCTGGCTGCCCACTTTTTCCGCCTGAGCATAACTGTTATTTTCTTCCTGTTTAGAAGATTCCTTGAACTTATTCTGTTTCAGTGCCCTGATTTCATCTTCACTCAATCCTTTTATTCATTTTCTGTCTACTGTATGAATTGTTCGGATGACCAGTAAGATCAAATATTGTTGATATTGCATTATCTTGAAGAACTGTCCTAGAAACACTGGTTCTATAACCCATAGAGTTTAGAAAGTGTTTGACACATAGTCAATATTTTTTTTTTAGTTGATTGGGTGTCTTATCTTTTAAGTCTACTCTCCTCCAATTCTCCACCCACTTATGGCATCTGGCTGGGTCCCCAGGAAACTGACAAAGGCCAGGTCCAACTGAATGCTCTTCGGTGTGCAGTTGGGGACCATGCAGAAGCTGTGTGTCTTATGCCACTGTCCCAGCCCTCCCTCCACTCCTGAAGATAGCCTGCCAGCCCATCTTAAGTCTGGTCTGAAGAAGGGGCTGTGGGGCCTTGGCAGGGCCATGCAGGACAGGGAGAGCGTGAGAAACCCCAGTCCTCACTTCTCATGTGATTCTGTTCCAAACTGCAATCCTCAGCAAAACTCAAACCCATGTTTCATTTAAGCAACACACACAACATATGTGGGCACACACGCACATTCATGTTACTTGTGAGTAGGGGTAAGAGGATTTTCATGAAGGTAGCCTGCCTACCCTACAAAGTCTTCCAGCACAATTGTTCTAGATGCATTGCTTGAGCCTTCTGTCCTCCTCTCCCAGTCCCTCTTCCCTCTTACTTCTTTTGCAGCTTCTCTTCCACTTTTACTTACTTGCAGCTTCTTTTCACTTCTACCGCAATGCTTACTGGGCTGCCCATGGACAGCTGTGGCCCTATGAGACCATGCCCTCCCTTTCTGGCCCCAAAAACCCATCATGGGGAAATATTTCTAAACAAAAATAATTCCCTGCTATGAGGAGATGTGTTCAGGCCCTTAGAATAACACTCCACAGCACTCACATAACAAAGGCACACTCTCCCACACACAGACACACTGTACTCTAACCCTTGCCCCACTGTCAGGCTAAGATGAGGACTAAATAGTAACCAGAGTGTTGCTGGTTGTTAGAAAGCTCAGTCTTCATTTCAGACACAGACCTGAAATGACAGCTTTAGCCTAGAAATGAAAATGGAGTATTACTATTCTATCTATTGACACCAACAGGTTTCCATCTGAAACTTGACCCTAAGAAGTACACAAGTACCTCAGGCACGTTGTTCTTTTACAATGTACCACATGTAGAAAAGTTTAATGGTTTGTGTCTTAGTTTTAGTCACCTCTCCCACCAAAGCAGCCCCTAAGACAAGATTGTATGCCCAACTGGGAGGTGATCTGAAGCACATAGAGGGGCTGGGGAAGTGAGTCTGGTAAAAGATAAAAGTTCCAGGAGTTAGTGAGGAGGGTTCCAGAAAGCCATAGGTATCAGTCCCTCCAGTGGTCTGAGCCTGTCTAAGTGACAAACCTCTGATTTGTCCAAGGAGGAGTGAGGACAAAGGGCCCATGTCTTCCACCTCCATTGGATGCCCTGAGTTCTGGCCTACGCTACACAGGACACTCCATCTGCACACACTGAGAGATGTGGGCTGGACACTGACTCCATCTGTTGCTAGGAACTCAGGTGACTTTTCTATAATGTAACTCACAGAGTGCCTGCTATATGTATATCATCTGTATTGTCCTATCTATTTCTTCCAGCAAATGGTCACAGGATTCTCTCTGATTAATAAGAAAACTGTAGCATGGAGAGGTGAGGCAGCATGCCCATAGCTAACCAGGGGCAGCCCAGGATCTGACTCTTCTAAGCAGTACTAGAGGAAAAGGGTGCCAGCTATCTGGAGGGATCCAGATCAGCTCATGCTGCTTTACACATGAAGACATGGCATCTATGTTCCTCTTCCTGAATCTGGTCTGGCCATTGACTATTCTGACCACACAATGGTCACAATGTTCCAGAACAACTCTGCACCAATCCAGGGAGTAGATTTGAGGGGTTTCACTAGCTTCCACCTTCTCTTTTGAAGTCAGCCATCATGGAAGAAAATGTGCCAGTTTAAGATCATCATCTTGTGAAGAAGTTCAGCTTAGCTGCATGGAGAAGCCACATGAAGCAGCATGAAGATGTGAGACTTGTGAATGAAGCCATTGAGGTTGTCCAGCCTAGTCCTGTACACAGTAGAGCAAAGTGAGTGACTTCAGCAACGCCATAAGGAGAAAGAGAACCACCCAGCTGAACTAAGTCAACCCACAGAAGCAGGAAAAGTAACATACTAGGTAGTCACGGTGGTGTATGCTTACAATCCCGGCACCTGAGAGGCAGAAGTAGGAGTTCAAGGCCAATCTTCGCTACATAGCAAGGCCCTGACTTTAAAAAAATTACTGACTTAAGCCACAAAAATTTCGACATGGTTTATTATGCACAATGGCTAACTGAAATAGCTGTCAAAACCTTTTTTCCCCATAGCTGCTATCAAATTGCAGCTATGAATTAACTTGAGTAAGTAGCATTGTTGTTTAGGATCTTTTAAAATGTCATGTGTTGGGCATAGTGGCACATACCTATAATCCCGGAGACTCAAGAGGCTGAGGTTGGAGGACTACAAGTTTGAGCCCAGCCTAGGAAAAATTTTAAAAATAACATAAAGGTAGGGGTATTTTACTCACAAAATGCTGGTTTCAGTCCTCTCTGTACCACACACACACACACACACACACACACACACACAAAGACAAGAAAAGAATTGGTAGAAAAATGTTAGCATTCTTCATAACCATGCAATTTTGATGTCAAACTTAAGGAAGTATTTTGCTTTAGCTGGCACTGGGCAACACACCACACATAATGATGCTGAGAGTGGGAACAAAGCAGATCGTGCAAGCCCCAGGGCTGCCACTGATCAGTGCACAGGCTGGGTCCTCGGTATGAGATTCATGGTGAATTTGTCTTTTAGCATCTCCATTCAGAGGTACTTAATCAGTGTCAAGAGCGGACACCATAAAACCCATTCCAACAGGCTGACATACTATGTGACTGTGTGAACATGGAAGAGCCTGAGGACAGCTGCCATTTCCCTCTTCAAGGCGGGATCACAGTGAACGGCTCAATTAGTATCTCTCTGGATGCTGCAGGAGCACATGATTTGGAGGAAGAGAAAGACAAAAGTCACATGAGAGAGCCTGAGATGATCAGGATGAGAGGACTGACCCAATCCTCTCCAACACTTACTCCACAGTTACAGTAATCAAGAGACTGTGGTATTTAAGAAATAATGAACAAACCAATCAATGGATCTGTGTGGAGAGCCCAGGAATATACGTGTACAAATACAGCTAAGTGATCTTTTTACAAAGGAGCAATTACAATTCATGGAGGGAGGATAATGTTTTTAAACAAGTGGCACTGGACATCCACAGGCAAAAACCAGAACAAAACACTGAACTAGACACATACTAGTCACAAAAATTAACTCAACATAGGTCATAGACTTAAATGTAAAATGCAAAACTATAAACTCATTCTAGGACACAGCATAGGAGAAAACCTAGGTGACATTGAGGATTTGGAGATGATATTTTTAGTGAACACCAAAACTATGATTCATAAAGAAAAAAAACTGAGGGCTGGTGGAGCGGCTCAAGTGGTAGAGTGCCTGTCTAACACATGTGAGGCCCTGAGTTCAAGTTCCAATACCACAAAAAAAATGATAAACTGAAAGCAACCAAGATGTCCTGCAACAGGTGACTAAATAAACAAATTATGGCATATTCAAGCAATGGAATACTATTTAACATTTTTTAAATGAGCTATTAAGTCACAAAAAGCCATGGAGGAATCTTGAATGCTAAGTGAAAGAAGCCAATCTGAAAAAAATTTCATACTATGACATTCTAGAAAAGGCAAAATAGATACATTAAAAAGATCAGAGATTGCCAGGATTCAGGGGGAGGAAGTGATGAACAGAAGATCACAGGGGATTTTTAGGGCAATTAAATTACTCTTGATGATACTATAATGATGGACACATCTTATTACACATTTGCAAAACCCCCAGAATACATGACATCAAGAGTGAACCCTAGCCTGGGAGAGATGGCCCACACCTATAATTCCAGCTATTCATGAGACAGATATTGGGAAGACCATGGGTTGGAGTCAACCCAGGGAAAGAGTTAGCAAGATCCGATCTCATCCAACAAGCCAGGGACGGTAGTACACATCTGTCTTCTCAGCTATGAGAGACGTAAATAGGAGGATCTTGGTGCAGGCCTGTTTCAGGCAAAAACACAAGACCCTAGTCAAAAAATAAAACAAAAAGGGCTGGGACATGTCTCCAGTGGTAAAGCACCTGCCTAGTAAACGGGAATCCCTGAGATTAAAACACAGTACTGAAAAAAAAAAAAAGAACCCTAATGTAAATGGTGAACTTTGGGCATAGTGATGTGTGAATGTAAGTACATCTATTGCAACAAATGTACTCACCAATGCAAGATAGCAAGGGAAAAAACAGGGGGACTGGGAAATGGAAGGGGATGGACACTGTACCTTCTCATCATTTTCCTCTAAGTCCTATTTTAGGAGGCAGTAGTAGGTCTTGAACTCTGGGCCTTATGCTTGCTGGGCAGATCCTCTCCCACTTGAGCCCACAGTTCTAGCCCATCTTTCTGTAAGTCTGAACTACTCTAAGAAAAATAAATAAATGAGCAAATCAATAAATACATGTTGATATGTATGAAGAAATAAGGCTACAAGCCTATTATCTCTCTAGATGGTAGACTTTCCAGTGTTTTATTTCTTTTTGGTCCTTGCTTATTTTTCTTTCTTTTTAACTAATTGTACAAGATAGCTGCTTTCATTATGACAGCTTCAGTACTTGCACAATATGCAATTCGATCATATTGACCCATCATCCTCTCTTGTTCCCTGCTCTCCTCCTGCTGTCTCTCTCAATATCCTCCCCTTTTA